CCGTGGGGCTGGATCCAGACCTGCTGCCTCCAGATGTTGCCTTTTTAGGCACTGGAGCACAGCACATCCCTGCCTGTGGCCAGCCCTGTGCCGAGCCAGCGCCTGCTAGCAAAGTAGGGACAGTCCCTGTCCTGGTCATGTGGAGGCGTCTCTGCCCCCCTCCTGATCCCCAAAAACACCCTTCTCTCCCCAGGCAGGGTCAGGGATGATACCTTCTCTCCCTTCCCCTCATCTGCACTTGGCAGCATTGAGGCTGATTGCTGAAACCGCCCCGGAGCCGGGACCTGCCCTTATTTGGGTTGAAACCAGGGCTATTTTGGTGCAGCTGCCTCCACTGCAACCCCTTGAAGCTTCTCTGTACATTGTTTTTCCTGTCCTGTCCCATACTCCTGTGCCAGGGCTGCTGGCCAGGCCAGCCAAGGGCTGCTGTGTGCTGTTACCGTGCCAGTGTGCTGTGTGTCCCAGGGTGTCATGGGTGCCAGGGGTGACCCCCATGGCCATTGTGGGGTGGAATGGCTAGTGTCCCCTGTGGCGTTTCATCCCTGATTTGCAGGGCCGTGTGCACTGGGTAACCTCTGTCCTGGTCCTGCTGCCGCCTTCCTGGCGGGGATGGGCCACAGGGCGGCTCCTCATCAACATACCAGGGGAGAAACAGGAGACAGCGTTTGTCCCAGTTCAGGGGACATCCCTGTGTGAGTGGCTCTTTGCCTGGTGCACCTTTTGGAGAATGGCCTCTGCCCTGGCATGGGCGCTGTCCAGGCATCCAGGCATGGAGAGGATGGCACAGTGACAGTCCCTGACCCAGCTGCAGGGTGGGCTGGGGATGCTTGGAGGGAAGCCTGGGAGCAGTGGGACCTCTGTGCCCCAGCATCAGCGCAGTCTGACTCACCCTGAGCTGCCGGCCAAGCCGCTCCCTGCCCTTCGGCGCATCTGCCAGTCACCCCCACCCAATGGAAGAAGTCCCAAAAGCAGCACCCCTGGGCACTGGTGGGGGCAGAGGGGGGCTGTGGGGTGCACGGGGTGCTGCCTCCTCCCAGGGACTCCTGTGCCGGGGTTCTGTGTGGCTGCCCTGTGCCTCACACACCGGGGCTGTGCTGGGCAGGGTGGAGCTGGAGAGGGGGGGAGCGGGTGTGCATGGAAACATGCCGTCCTCCTGCCGGGGACATATTGCATAAACAGGAGTTTTGCCAGAGCTGCAAAAAATGTGAGGGCAGGAGCAGCCAGCACGTGGTGTGGGCAGAGAGTACCTGACCCCTGTGCAGGGCAGGGGGGTGACCAGAGCACAGACACCACAGTCCCTTATGCCTGCAGGGGAGAAGGATGCTGCAGCTGGAATGGGGAGCAGAGGTGCTGGAGAGGGAAAATCCTTCCCCAACATCCCCAATTTAGTGGTGCCAACCTGTCCCCTAAAAGTGTGTTCTGCTGTGAGGTGCCTGATGGCTGCTCACACTGCCCCACACTGTGGCTAAGAGAGAGCTCAGCAGGGCTTGGTGGCTGTGGCTGGGCTGGAAAACAGGGGAAAGGCTCTGGGAATGTCTGGGGAAGTTGCTGTGGCCTGTGGCTGCCCCTGGGATCCCCTGTACTTGAGGCAGGGTCTCGAGGTGAGCAGAGAATCGTGGGGTGCGTGTGGAAGTGATTCACAGCCCAGCTGGGATGTAAGCAGCGCAAAGCTGAGATGAACTTGCTTGGGAGGAAGTGGTCCCTCATGGGGTGATGTGGAACCCCACGAGGTGGGATCACGTGGGCTGAGCAGGCATTTATGCTGCCCAAGCACTGTCCTGTGGGACGCCAATGTGGCCACTGAGTCACATTCCTCTTTGACAACTGCATTTCCAGACCACAGGGTGGCTTGGGCAGGGGAACCACTTACAGGGCTGGAGGGAGTAGGGTGCCTTGATGCCCTCTCTTGGGGTCCACATTCTTTCTAAATAATGGGGCCGTGAATCTGGCTTGCTTTGAGAGGGTCTGGGATATCAGTGTCCCTTTTGACAGCATGTCTCCAGCTCCAATCACACCAGCTGGGCTGGCTTGCCAGCACCTCAGTGCCTGGCCATGGGAAGCATTGCTGGTGTGCAGGGGTCTGTGTAAGGGCCAGGGTGGCTGGTGCTGCGACTGCTCCTGGCATAGCAAGGGTCAGCACCAGCCCGGATATTGTCCGGCTCCGGAATGTTTATCGGAGCTCCTGGGGAAGGGAAAAACAAAAACCGCCACCCAAAGGAAGGGATATGCGTCAGAGATGGGCCTGGATCACCCACCGGCAGCCGGCCGGGCCGTGCTGTGGGCCGTGGGCCAGTGCTCGCCCGGCTCCAGCTGCCCGGCCGGGGACACCCAGGTGCTGCGCTGATCCAGCCCGTTCCTGAATCGCAGCGCCCCGCCATGGAGGTTTGTGTTCCCCCAGCCCTGCTAGCATCTTGCAGGTTGGGGCTACAACCCACGGTGATGCTCTGCTGGAGCAGGACCTGGGAGTGGCTCTGGGCACTTCCATGGGTGCAAGGGTTGTTATACTGAGGGAGGAGAGGGAGAGGAAGGAGGTGCTGAGGGAGGGAGGTGTGAGCAGGGGTTGCAGCATGGAGAGGGCTCTGAGATGTCTCATCCCTGGATAGGAGGTGGATGTCTGCATTCCTCCAGCCTCGCTCAGTTCTTGTGAAATGGTGCTGAAGTCCTGTCGTGATCTGTGGTGCAGAGGTCAGTCCCTGAGCTGCAGCTGGAGGGGTTAGGTGGAAGAGGGACCTCATGAGCTACTCTGCACTATGGCGGTGTGGCCAGGGACTGTCAGGGGTTTGCCAGCCAGGTGTTTATTTCTGGGCTTGAACATGTCAAGGGGATCGAGTTTCTCTAGGTATAGTGACAGCTGGTGATGAGCGAGCGAGCCCATCATCGCTTTCCAGCGGAAGGCTGCAGGGTGTGCCCAGCCCTTTATGAGACATCAGAGACTCCTATCACTCCTGGCCACGGGGCCTCATTTACTGGGAAAGTGATTTTTCTGCTTGGCAAAACTCGGGTCTCAAGGCAGCAGCTCGTGGGATGTGGCTGCTGGGAGGGATGGGAGTGCGACCTGGGGGGCCGGGTGGGCGGGTGGGGGGCCGTGGGGGGCTGGTGGGGTGGGCGGCAGCCCTGCTGCGCCTCGTTCCTCGCATTCCTGGGCAGGGCTGCCGGGCGGCGGGGTCGGCGGCGGGGGCCAGCCGGCAGGAATGCAAACACCGGTGAGGGGGAGAAGAAAGGCCGCTGTGTCTGCCGCGGCAAAGCGAAGCCTGGACCAGGGGTGTGCGGGTCCCCCTGCCTTTCCCACTCCTGTCTGCAGCGAGGGATGCAGGAATCGCTGAGGACAGAGATGGTGGCTGTTCTGGGGGTAGCTGCAGGGCTGTACAGAGTGATCCTCTCACCGTGGGGCAGGAGGGGTGCTCCTACACCTCTAGGTCGGGAACTGGACTTCCCTAGGGAGGGGTCCATTGTCTGGGACAGCGTCTTCCTTCTTCTTCTTGAACTGGGGACATGTTTGAGCCAAACTTGAGAGAGGAAAACAGCTTTACATTCCTGAAGTCCTTGTAAAACTGCCTTTCTGGGATGCGAGAGTGCCATACAGCCTGAGCTGCTGGCTCCTGTGGATGGGAAGAGTGGTGTCGGGTGAGCACAAGCCCATATTACACATCAGAGAATCCTCAAGGGCAGGGAAATACAACCACAGGCACCCCAGTTTTTCCCTTTTCCAGCCAGAGGTGCATTTGTAGTCTGCGAACTTCCTCATGCCGACAGCAGAGGAGGACTGGGCATGGGCCCTACCTGGACCAGTGTGTCCCATTGTGGGGGAGCGGTGCATTTCCCCCATCTCTGACCCTGCAGCTGGGGCTGGGCACGGGTCAGGGGCGCTTGTTGAGCATCCCCGGGGGAAGAGCACGGCGGCAGCGTGCGGGGCACGGTACGGCACAGCCCTCGCCGGCTCGGTCCGCAGAGCGGCTCGCTGCCGCTGCCGGAGAACATTCCAGGGAGGCTGGCGCGGGGCCAGCGCCGCGGGGCAGGGAAAAGGGCCTTTTATGGAAGCGTTTCTGCATTAGAATAAAATCATAATAATAATGCGCAGGGGAAGGGAGCGGGAGGAGGAGGAACCCCTGAAGAAAACAGTGAGATGGGATGGGAGCAGGCTGGCAGCTGGGGAGGGGAGCAGGCGCTGGGCATCGTGCTCTGGGGACCAGGATGGGATGGGATAGGGGTGCTCCAAGTGGGGTGCTTGGGGCAAATCCTTCTGTTTATGGCCCGGGGCAGGCGAGGCAGAGTGGGGTGCAGTGGGTCCCCATGCTGCCATGGTAGGGGACCAGCCCCTGAGTGGTGTTTGCCGTCTTGGCTCCATCCTGGGATGGGGCAGGGGATGGCTTACTGGGGGTCACTGCTTCTGGTGGGATTTTTAGAGGACAAAATGCCCTGAATCACACTCTCCCACTACTGCTGGCACCTCTGGGCCAACACAGAGCTGGATTGCTTGTGCCCGCTGCCCCAGCACCTACAAGGTGCTGCCTCTCCCACCCTGGCATGCTGCTGCTTGGGGTGCACACAAAACCCAAGGTTAATTGTCAGTAATTGCCGCTGGTAATTAAGGTAACAATAGCTGGGCTGTTCAGCTGGCGGCTGCAGGAGCTCACGAGGCTGGGCTGGGGTTTGTTCCAGGAGCTGCTCTTGGCACCAGGCACCCGCCCTGCGCTGTGCCATGCCCTGCTCTCCATGCCCACTCGGGCTGGGGCTGGGGCTGTCCTGGCTCCCTGGCCAAGGATGAATGGCACAGCTGCCCTGGCCCTGGGCCCACTCCCACTCCCAGCCTTGACTTGGGGTGATGCCTTAGCTCCTGCCTGGAGTGGCAAGGCCATGGATGCCCCTGTCATTTCCTTGGTTGAGTGCTGTATTCCTTGTGTATGGATGGGGGGTAGATGCTGCATTCCAGCCTCTTCCCATGCCCTGTGTTGGACAGGGTGTTCAGAGGCTAATCCTGGCTCTCTTCTGCTTCCTTGCAGGCTGTGACCCCCTGCTCCCCCAGTGTCAACTATGAGCTGGTAAGTGACACCTCTGCTGTGAGCCATGGGTGACAGCCACGGCTCTGGGGATGCTGGAGCATCCTGCTCTGGCTATGGGGCTTTCTCTGAGCTGGGGCTTCAGGATGTGAATCTTCCACCCTCAAAACCACATTGGTCCTGAGCTTGGGGTAAGGGCACTCCCATTTTGGTGCTGTGCCCCCCACCATTGCTGGCTGAAGGGCATCCCACAGCTGAGCAGCAAAAGCTGGAGCAGCCTATCACAGGACTCCTGGAGCTGGAGTTTTCAGGGAAGAGGGGTCTGCAGGGTTGCTGAGAGGGACAGGCAGATAGGACGTGACCATCCAGGGCTCTGGGGTCCCCTGGCCAGAGCTGGGGCGGTTTCTTGCACACCCGGAGATGGCTGTACCAGATGTGCCTTTGGCTCGGGGCGCCCAAGGCCATGCATTTGAGCTCTTGTTATTGTCACCCTCTACTATTGTCTGTCCTAGGGGCCTTTAGTAATCTGCTGGGGCCAGGGCGACACAGGCTGTTCCCACCCTGTCCTCTCTGGACACGAGGAGAACAGCTGGATGCATCATCTCCGTTCACCCTGTCCTGGGGAGGGCAGGTGGGGGGTACTGGGCGGACAGCCACAGCCCTTTGCCACACTGCTGCAGGCCATGGCTGGGCTCTGGGGGCACCAGGGCACTGGGATGTCACCTGGAGCAGGGCCATGCCCAGTAAGAGGTTTGGGAAGCATGACATGATGGTGCTACCAGGCAGCATCTTGCAGCAGAGCAGCTCCCCTGCCCCGTCCCCAGCCTGGTGGTGCTGTGGCAGCAGGCAGAGCAGGCACGTGGCAGCAGGGAGACTGGCATAGCCTGGGGCCACTGCAGCAGCCCTTCCTTTTTGCTCCAGACGTGTGCCAAGGCTTGCTGGGGCAGGCGCGGGGAGAGGAGGCCCTGGCAGGGTTTCAGCTCAGGCTCAGCAGCCTGGCAGTGCCGCAGTATCCGTGCCTCACACGGGGCCCTGGGCTGGGCAGGGGTCTCACCTGCAAAGTGAGTGTAGGGGATGACCACCTGCAGGCTCTGAGAGCAGTGTGAGAGCCCAAGTGAGCAGGGCATGGGGTAGGAGCGGAGCATGCTGCCTGCTCTGGGGCCTCATGGTGGTTATCTGCCCTGGGTTTAATCTCTGCCTGCACCCCTCACCCCTGCCAACCTCCTTGGGCACTTATCGACAGCAAAAATATGTTGCCTTCGAGCTGGGACCGTTACTGTGGCTTTGGGAGGAAGTTGAAAGGGTTTGCCCTGCCTCATGGATGGAAATGTCTGCTCTGGCCCTGCTGCCAAGAGTACAGCAGCCTGGTTTGAGGGTGACCTCCAACCTCCTGGTCCCAAGACTCCCATCTGGGGACCTGCTCAGCTGGGTCCTCTTGCTGTGCCACCCCCAGGCACCACAACCACCATTCCCAGACTGAGATATCTGTCTCCTGCTTCCTATTTTTGGGGTCCAGACACTTTCCCCCACCCCAGGAAGTTAATTCCTGTGCTCAGCCTCCTTTCAGAGCTCTCTCCAGTAGCATGTTACCAAATTTCCCCCTGTTTTGAGCATCTCAGACCCTGGCTCTTCTCCCACTGGGGTCCTTCACTGGCCGGGTGGGATCAGGCTTATCTTGGGGGCCAGTTGCCAGGCTGGGTGTGGGACTGCACTGGGCTTGCCCTCTTGTTTACTTCCCAGCTGTAGGATCTGACCATGGAGAATCCATCTGGAATCCCAGAGATGTGGGGGGCACCAGATGCCCATCATGGAACAAGCTCAGGGTTCTCCAAATGCTTCCCATTGGCAACAGTGGTCAGTGCCAGTGGTGATGGCTGAGACGCAGGATGGCAGCATCCTTGGTACTTGAGTATTCCAGCTCTGCACTTGGGTTTTGGGGGATTCCCAGCCTTTAGGAAGAGAGGACATGTTGGCAGGCAGGGAAGGGAACGGAACTGCGGTGCATTTCCTAGGAAGCACCAGAAATAGCCAGGGGGAGCTTTTGACCCTGGCCCTGCTCTGTATGTGTGTGTGTGTCTCTCTCAATCTCTTCTCTCTTGCTTGCCTTTTTCTCACCTTCTCTTTGCTCCTGTCTGCAGCCATCCCTGGGGGAGAGCATCACCAAGCAGGTAGAAGTCCTGGTAAGTGCAACCAGTCATGGAGGCTGACCACTGCCTTAAGACCTCTTGGGGGGTCACTCATACCAGTCCCATTGCTGCAAACACTCCCTGCAGCCAAAATCCCTCAGCCTGGAATGCTCCTGTGTACCTGGGACCCTGAAGTCCTCTCTCCCAGCCAGCCAAGGTGATGGTAGCCATGCCAAAGGCCAAGTGAGATGACCAGGGCTGGTGGCAGAGGCGGTGGTGGAGCCCAGCATACTGGGGGCTGAGGCTTTCACTGCAAAGCTGACTTTCCTGTCGTGGAGCTGGGGATCTGTTATTTAATCTGTGGACATGAAATTGCTAAGACAGTGTAGACAAATGCACTGCCAAAGTCAACGAGGACAGCTTCCCCCCCGCCTGCAGCCAGCTGGCCTCCCTGAGTGTTGGGGCTGGGACCCAAGGGATAGAGGCATGATGGTTCCCATGAGGAAGAAGATGAAAGCCTTCCTCACCTGAGATCTGGCTTTGCCTAATGCCTTTGGTTGTCCAGGACATGTTTCCAGCCCTGAGAAAGAGCATCCTCAGGAAAATCGAGTTAGAAGCCTCCTTTGCTGGCTTTGCTGTCTTTGCTGTCTTTCAGGAAAGTTTCTTGATATTTCTGAAGCCTTTCTTCACCCTTTCCAAGCAGAAGGGACCCGCAGGTTTTGGGTGCTGCAGGAGCTTGGGGACATGCCAAGCTAGCTTGGGACTGGAAGGCACATTCTTGATGGGGTTGGCAGAGGGATCTTCAACTCAACAGGACTGGGACCAGCCCGTCCTGTGCTGGGCTGGGCTGGGTTATACTGGTTTGGCTGGAGTCTCTCTCCACAGGGGACGTTGGCAAGGTCTGCCAGCCCAGTGGCAGGCAGGAGTGTTTAATAACAGGAGCACAGCTCCTATCAGCTGATTGCAGGCTGACTCTTCCTCGTGCAGGGCTGGCGGCAGGGACGCAGCGCGGCTGCGGCTGGGGGTGGGGAGCATGGCAGAGCCCGGGCAGCAGGGCACAGCTTGGGGGCTCTCGCTGGGACAGGGGACACTGCAGGGCCCTGGCTGTGGGCACCCGCTCTCCCGGCTCTGGAGGGTGCCAGGAGTGGACCTGCCATGGCGTGGAAATGGATTGGCAAGGGGCTCACTGCTGTCCAGGTATGGGGAGGGACAGGGACTCTGGTGTCCCCACCTTGCTTGCCCTCCTGTGCCTCAGTTTACCCATGTGGGAGCTGGGGGTGATTCCTGGTTTCCCCATGTCTGTTGGAAAAGGCTGTGGTTTTGGGAAGCTGCTGCAGTGGGATGGGGTGACATTGACTGAGGGGGCTCCCCTGGCTGGGGGGTGTGGGACCCCAGAGATCTCTGTTATGGATGTTTGAGGCACTGCACAAGCCATGGTGGAGATCCCATCCTGATCACTGGTGGGTGATGCAGGGATGAGCCCATATTCAGGTTCAGGCTTGTTCCACACACCTTGGCTCTCCCAGGAAAGGTTTTACCTCTCTTTTTGCTGTATTTTAACTCCTTATTTGCCCTCAGCAATGTTGGGGATTTCCTGGGGTGAGCAGGCAATTTGAGACACCCTGAGGAAATACTGGAGAGGGAATTGTCACTGCTGTTCAAGCACCTCTGAGCACTGAGGCAAAGCTGCTGCCTTCTGGAACTGCTTTGGCTGGGAGGGGTGACATTGTCCCCAGGCCCCAGGGCTGCTGAGCCTGGCTCTGCTCTGCAGGATAACCTGACCTTGAGAGGGGCATGCAAGGCTAGTGGAGGGTGACGCTGGCTGTCCATGGGAGCAGCTCTGGGACTGTGCTGGGTGGGCAGGAGGTAGCAGGTAAAGGATGCCAGGGAAACTGCTCTCCCACCTCGTGCTGTGCCCTTTGGTGTGCTGGTTGTGGGATGCTGCAGCCCTGAGGAGAGTAGCAGCAGTCTTGCAGCTCTGGGAACCAATGAGGCATCCCAGGAATCAGCTGAAGGATGTATCTCTTATTCCTGATCCTTCTAGGCGTGTTGCCTGCGTGAGATGAGTCTTTAAATGACTTCTGCTTATTAGCTGGAGATACTAAAACTAATGAGGTGCGAGTGTGTTTTTCCTCAGCAGCTTTTTTTGGAAACCCTGCTTTGTTTTTCGGCTGAGGTCACAAAGTCACAGAACAAGCCGGCTGCAGATGAAATTTTCGAGGCCGGAGAACATGCATAAATAGAAGTTTCCTGCCCCAAGAGCTCAAACATTTCCTCCAGGCGTTTGGCTTGGTGGAGCTGGGGCCAAAGCAAACTGTCGTGCCTGGCTGGCTCCTCGAGGCCGCTTGGGCAGCGAACCTGCCCCTGCTCCAGGCAGGGCCAAAGCAGCTCTGTCCCACCAGCTGTGCCCGCAGCCTGATGGACACAAGAGGGACTTGTGACATGTCTGAGACTGTGCCCACCTGCTCAGCATCCTCCAGAAAGGTCCTCTGGGACCCTTTGGCAAAGCACCGGCCCCACAGTGCGCATGGTAGCTGGTCCCAGCAGCACTGGGGTTGTGAGAGTTGGGTTTTGCATGTGAGATGTGTCAAGCTGCTTCTGCTATTTGGTGGGATTTGGAGACAGTGATATTTTGGGAATGTTAAGATGCTCAATGCAGTGTGGTGGAGATGGGATGCTTTGGCAGCACCATCACACCCAGGTCTAGCAAGAGCCCTGTGCCGGCTGTGGCTGGGTCATGGCAATAACTTGCTTTTCCTCTCTGGCTCTTTAGGATGCCACAAAATCCCCCAGGAGTGGGCAGTCACGCTGCAAAACATCCAGGTACTTGCCTCAGTTTCCCCTTCTGATGACTGTCTCTGCTCTGCCTGAAGCTCCCTTCCACTGAGACCTGCTTCTCCAGAGGTGCTATACCTGGGAGGTGCTCCAGTGAAGAATACACAGGAGTTGTGACCCACCATCCCCAACTTGGGTCCCCAAGAGGACTGGGAGCAGGGGACAGGCTGCAGGCAGCTGTGTCCCCATGTGTCCCAGCCTGTCTGGCAGGGTGGGGAAGTGTCCCTGTGTCCCTTCCCTGTGCCTTGACAGTGGTCCCCTCCCTTTCCCAGAAGCATGAGCCTGACTGCAGCCATGGAGAGCAGCTGTGAGCTGGACCTGGTGTACATCACGGAGCGCATCATCGCTGTCTCCTACCCCAGCGCAGCCGAGGAGCAGAGCTACGCCAGCAACCTCCGTGAAGTGGCCCACATGCTCAAGTCCAAGCATGGCAACAACTACGTGGTGAGGGGCACGGCCAGGTCCCTGCCAGGCTGCTGGAGGGGCTGGGGTGCTCAGCTGCTGGGGATAGGCACTTGCAGGGAATGGATACTGCATCCTTGTCTCCATCTGGGCTCTGTTGAGGGAGGGTCTTTGCACTGTGCTGGATAGATTTTTTTCTTCATGGAAAATTACCCGTCCCTTTCAGACCTCCTGGGTGTTTTTGGTCATTGTGTTGCCGTGTGGCAAAATGTTACTCAGGGTAATGTGTCTGGGGAAGCCTCTCACAGCAGGATTTGGGAAGGCTTTGGGGTGAGGTGGCAGCAAGGAAGATGTCCTCTCACTCTGTTTTCCATCTTCCCTCAAGCTTTTCAACCTCTCTGAGCGGAGACGTGATATCAACAAACTTCACCCCAAGGTGGGTCACAGCTGTGAGAAGCAGGGAGGTCTTAGGGGCCTCAGGGCAGGCCTGTCTGCAGGACCAGCTCCCTGCTACAAGATGTTTAGGGGAGAAACAGCCATCTTTTCTATTCTGTCCAGCTGGGAAAAACCCTGGGAAAAGCACTGAGACTTCACACTGTGTTTGTGGTAGTTCAGCTTGGCTCCCATTACCCTCCCAGCCCCCCTTCTCAGCCCAAAACTGACTGTTTGGAATCTCCTGGAGGCCTCCCTAAGGCATTGTCCTCATCCCTCTGGTAGTGGGGGAGTCCTCAGGAGCTGAGCCAAGTAACCTGGAGTGAGGGGCCTGAGGTTTGGGATCACGGTGGCCTCCCTGGGCAGTGGGGTGTAGGGTTGGGGATGGGAGGGTGCATGTCAGAGCAGCACAGTAATGCCTACCCTGTGTACAGGCTTTGCCCACTGGCAGGCTGGGAACTCCACGTGGGCGTGCCTGTGACCCCAGGTTGTTCCCCTGTTCAGGTGCTGGATTTTGGATGGCCTGACATGCACACCCCTGCGCTGGAGAAGATCTGCAGCATTTGCAAAGCCATGGACACGTGGCTCAACACAGCAGCACACAATGTGGTGGTGCTGCACAACAAGGTCAGCAGGACCTGTCATGGGGCACAGCAGTGGGGCACTGGGGCTCTGTGGGGCTGCAGGGATTGGGCTGAGCAGCCTCAGAGACTGAGAGATGTGGAGAGTGTGGTGGTTTGTGGTTTGGGGTGTGAGTTGGTGTCAGCACATACGTGTGGATTGGTGTGTGTCTAATAAGGGTTGGGGCATCTGTGGGCTGGTGTATGCTTGGAGGGATCAGTGTGTGCCTCTGTGGGATGTCTGTGCCTGGGTGCTCACAGGCCCCGCTGCCCCCATGACACCCCTTGTCCTGTGTGCCTGCAGGGGAACCGTGGCCGGCTGGGGGTGGTGGTGGCTGCCTACATGCACTACAGCAACATCTCAGCCAGGTGAGAGAGGCATGAGGTCCTGGGGTGGCCCTGGGGCTCACTGGTGACCTCCCTCCCAGTGGTGCTGGGGTGCTGGTGCCAATTTTTTCCTTCAGCCGCATCTGCCCTTTCATGCCCACAGTGCTGACCAGGCTCTGGACAGGTTTGCCATGAAACGTTTCTATGAGGACAAGGTGGTGCCCGTGGGGCAGCCATCCCAGAAGAGGTGGGTCCTGGCACACTGGGATTTTCCCCATAGGGTGGTGTGATGCAGGGCTCCAAGGTGGTTATTCCTCTGTGGGTTCTCCCCTGAGCTGCCTGTCTGCCCTCCAGGTACATCCATTACTTCAGTGGGCTGCTGTCTGGCAGCATCAAGATGAACAACAAGCCCCTGTTCCTCCACCACGTCATCATGCACGGCATCCCCAATTTTGAGTCGAAAGGCGGTAGGTGTCCCCAGCTGCTTCCCCAGCCTGCCTGCTCCCACACCACCATCCCACACTGCCTGGCCAGCCTTGTCCTCCTTGGGGGATATTTTCCACCATTTCCTTGGCAATTTGAATTTCCTTTTTCCTCCCAGAGACTGTTCACTCATAATAGCAGCATGCTACCCCTTTCTGGCAGAGATGCCTTTAGAGGATGTCCTCCTGATGCTGGGCATTAACATGAGCTGTGGGGTGACAATGTTTTTCTGACAGCTTTTCCAAGATTGGTCCCAGACTGGGGATTGGGATGCAGTACTCCATCTGGTGCTGATACCTCACCCAGATCATCATCCCACCCCTATCCCCAGCCCAGCAGTTGCCCAAGGTCCTGCAGGACCCAAACTGTGAGGGCTTTGCCCTTTCTCAGCTCATCCACAGCATCCTTTCTGCCCATTGCAGATGTTGCCCTTGGTCGGTGCGGGCTGGCTGGGGCAGGGAGCGGCTGTTTGCTTTGGCTCCCTCCCTGTTTGGATTTCTCCCCCGTGACTAATCCCTCCCCTGGCCCCTCCGCCCAGCCGGCTAACAGCAGTGTGCCTTTTCTCCCCGCCTTGATGTCTTCCAGGTTGTCGGCCCTTCCTGAAAATCTACCAGGCCATGCAGCCCGTCTACACCTCGGGGATCTAGTAACTATCTCCTCTCCATGGGGCTTTCCTCCTGCCCAGCGTGGGGGGCATGGCAAGCGGGGGAGGATGGAGCGGATCAAGGGCAAATCCCCTGTGCTCTTGTGCTCTATGCTTAGTCCATTTGGGGGACAAGTTAAAAAACGAGCTTCCTTTTTTTTGGAGGTGTTAACTGGGTCCAAACTGAACCCTTGTGCTGAGAGGGCTGTAGTGACTGCGTGTATCAGCAGAGGGAGCCTGGGGCTGCCAGAGCCTGGGGCTGGGTGTCCCTGGAGGGAGGGGGGAAAGGGACGGAGACGTCTGGGAGATGAAGGCACCCTGGGAGATGAAGGCATTTCTTCTCTCCCTGCTTACAGAACTGCTCTTCCTGCCTGGATTAGTCCTCGCAGATCACAGAGTGTTCTTAGTTGGAAGGGGCCCACAAGGATCGTTGAGTCAAACTCTTAAGTAAAAGGCCCATATGGGGATTGAACCCACAACCTTGGTGTAATTAGCACCATGCTCTGAGCAGCTGAGCTAATATCCTTTCTTTCTCCAAAAAAAAAGATTTTCCCCTTGTTTTAATCTCCCCACAATTTTTTTCTGATGCTGATCCTGGGACTGGGCACTGGCAGAAGGAAAGCAGGAGTTGATTTCTCCAACCTCCAAGACTCCGCCAGCACCACATTCCAGTCTGGGTGGGACCCCTGGCTCCTGGTCTCCCTGGAGGGACCAGAGCACCTCACCTCTCAATCCCCCAGGACCAGGATCTCACGTCTATACAGCCATGGGTCCCCGTTAGCTAAGATTTACTGCCATCCCAGCCTTGCCTTTCAGCTTTTAATAGACTGTTTATGGGATGCCTGTAATAAACTCCAGGTTTATCTTGCCTGTGAAATCCTACTCCTTTCTTCCCTTGTTCCTCGCTGCTGACGCCACCGCCCGTCGGCAGCCTGTCGGCCATGCACCAGGAGGGGGGGGCTTCCCGCAGGGAAACTGAGGCAGGGAGAAGAGTCTAACCAGAGATTTCTCCCTCTGTGTCCTAAGCCCCAGTTGAGCCATGGGAGCCAGGTGGATGGCTGATAGCCCAGCCTCAACACTTGGAACCTGGGCAAGCCCTCCCACCCAGCAGTTTTTGCACCCTTGCTGAGCTGTGCCTCAGTTTCCCCTTCCCGTCCTCCTTCCACTGAGAATGGGTGTCCCTTGAGGTGGTGGATGGGACCCCCCTCAGTCACAGCGAGGGCAAGCTCTGTGCTTTGCACCTTTTCTGCCTGGATTTGGGAGGGGCTGGTTGAGGTGGTGCTAGGAGTTTTCTGGGGGGGTCTCTGCACCTCAGCTCACATCCTCCTGCTGTTCCTCTCTGCAGCAATGTGCAAGGAGACAGCCAGACGGGCATCTGCATCACCATTGAGCCTGGCTTGCTGCTCAAGGGCGATATCTTGGTAAGGATTCTCAGCTCAGCTCCTAATGTAGGAAGCAGACAGGGGTTGCATGCTTGCCTTACCTCAGAACCCCCAGATTCCCCCTTGCCCAGATCTGGGGGCTCATCCTGATGGCCCATCCCTGTTTCCCTCTGCAGCTGAAGTGCTACCACAAGAAGTTTCGCAGCCCTACCCGTGACGTGATTTTCCGTGTGCAGTTCCACACGTGTGCTGTGCATGATCTTGACGTCGTCTTTGGCAAGGAGGACCTGGATGAGGCCTTCAGAGGTAACTGCCCTGGCACTTCCCTGTTCCAAACTCCCTCAGTTCCTGCCCCTGGAACTGTGGTATCATCATGGGGACTTCTGGGCACCCATCCCAGATCGACCCCCGCCAAAACAGGGCACCCCTGCTCCATCTGCAGGGTGTGGTGGCTGCTTGGGAAGTAATGGCACCATCATCCCTTTCAGTGCCAAAAACATCACTGCTGCAGAGGGGCTGCCTCGGGTTGTTCTGGGGTTAAGATGCACTTCCCCATGCAGGGTTATCCCCTAGCAGCTCCCAGCCTCAAGCTGGTCCTCAAGCAGGCGTGTTTGGGGTGGCTGACTGCTAGTGGAGTTATGGATGGAAATAATTTGTCTCTTTATTCTGCTCTCTCCTTGCCAGATGACCGCTTCCCTGAGTATGGGAAGGTGGAGTTTGTGTTCTCCTATGGTCCTGAGAAGATCCAAGGTATGGCTGGCTCAGTGCCATGGGGGTTTGGGGGTGGATGCTGTCTCCTTTCCTTCTCCTCAGCTGTATCCCCTGCGCCCTCCCTTGTGACTTCCACCTGCCCCATTGCAGTCCCTTTGTCACCAGGGTAGGGTGAGGCATCCAGGGAGTTAGGCTGATCTAGAAGCACCTGTAGATGCCCTATCTCTCTCGCTCTCTTCCTCAGGAGGCTGCTCTCCAAAGCCTTTGGTGGCCCAGGAGAGATGGAAGGAATGTTTGGGAATGAAGGGCTCCCTTGCTCAGAAAGCCCAGACCCATGCACACTCACTGCCAGTCTGTGTGCTGGTCTCTAGGCAGTCCCAAAAGCCCCAGGCAGTCTTGTACACCTTGTTTGTGAGTCTCAGTGTACATCTTGTGCTCATCCATCTCCTGGTGTTGCCTTTCCTACAGGAGCCTCCTGCCTTGCCCTATGGCTCCTGCACTTTTTTCCTTGCATGCACTTTTCCCCACCTATTCCCTCATCCCATCCTTGTTGGTTCCGTTGTCATCCTGCCTGACCATCCTGCCTCTTTCCAGGCATGGAGCACCTGGAGAACGGGCCCAGTGTTTCTGTGGACTACAACACGTCTGACCCACTCATCCGGTGGGACTCCTACGAGAACTTCAACATCCAGCGTGAGGAAAGTGCAGAGGGGGCCTGGGCTGAGCCACCCCTACCCAGCAAGCACCTGGAGAAAGGTTAGGGCTCACAAGGTGGTCGGCCAAAGTGTCCACATGGAAATATCCCCTACCCCAAGACAGGGACACTGCTGGGCAGTGGGAACTGCTGATGGGAGCAGCGTGGCCATGGGATGGGAGAGCAAGATCTCATGGACTTTGCCTTCTGCCACAGTGCCAGAGAGCTTAGGCTCTTCTTTGCAGCACTTAGCTGTCATAGTGCTGTTTGCACACGCAGAGTTCAGCCCTAGTTTATGTCCCAGAGCTTTAAAAAATTCAAACCCCATGTCTGCAGAACCATTAGGTATCCCAACTGCAAGCATGGCAGGATGCAGATGTACCTTAGTTGCCCCTAGGGGATGAGGATGTCTTACTGGCCTTTGAGAGCCTGCTCATCTCTCAGAGCTGGGATAAGCCCTTTGAGCACCCATTGTGTTGCAGCAAGTTGCCTGCTGTCACCCACTTGGCAGGAATGGGCAGTACTTGTGTGTCGAAGGGTGGTGGGCCCCTGTCCTGGAGGCAAGGCCACCCGTGGCCAAGCAGATGCCTGGGCTTTCCTGGCCAGATCTGCAGAGGCATCCCTGGAGCAGGGACAGCTGCGGTCCCTGATGTCCCTGAAGGTCACCAGCTGCTTTGAGTGGGAGCAGTGGATGGCAGTGCTCGCAGTGGGGGCTCTGGGTGCCTGGGGCGGTGAGAGTGTCTGTGCTATGGTGGTCACATGGAGCCAGACCTGGGGCAGCTCTGTGCAGCTGGCACGGGCACTTGCCTTGGCACAAGGCAGTAAACAGGCAACTCGTGATGTGCAGGCTCAGCTGTGGGCTATGTGCAGTCTGGGGAGCTGTGGGTCCAGCCTCAATCCAGCAAGACTGCCTGGCAGTCCCCTCCTGCCTGCAGAGACCTGAGTGCCTCATTGCATGTGTTCCCCTCTGGACCCTGGGCCAAAGTTTCTGCACCCCAGCCCCTGACAGGGCTGCAGGGGTACCCCAGGACTCATCTCTGTACTCTTGTGGGGGTCTTGGTGAATATTGGGGCTGCAGAAGTACCCCAGGGCTCCTCTCCATTCCCCCTTAGGGGTGTTAGCAGGTGTCAGGGCTGTGGAGGTCCCTCCATGCACCGACTGGGCTGTCCTCTGTGCTGGGATGGGTGGCAATAGGGAGTGAGGGCACCTTGAATTTGTAAACACTGTCCCAGTTTGGAGATGATCCGGGACTGTGCAAGGGTGAAGCTGCAGGCAGAAGGCTGCCCTCTGACCCATGCCAGCACAAGCAGCTGCAAGAAGCCCATCTATAAAGGGTCTTTCCAGCTGTCCCATGGGGCACTTTGAGCATTAGTGGTGGGAGTCGGCGTGGGCTCGAGGGGCTCCCATCTTTTTCCCTCTCTGTTGTCACTTCTCCTCTTTTCTAGCCTGTCCCAAGCCAGGATGGGGACTCTGGTGTCTGGCTGTGCAGGGGGGGTCCCTGTTTATGGTCGTTCTTGCCTTATTTGGTCAGGGAATTGCACGCCACATTTTTGGCACCACCAGGCGTGAGCAAGCGGCGTCTGGGGGCGGAGGGGGGTGAGGTTGGCACCAGGACCCACGCCGGGCTGGGATCAGCCGCTGCTCCTTGTCCCCGCCACTGCCCGTCCTGCCGCCCGCCGAGGGGACGCCGCTGCAGCCCGGGCCCACGGGATTGGGATCGCCTGCTGCACGGTGACGGTGGGTTCCCCACGCCGCCTCTCTGCTGGCCACAGCCTCTCTCACTGCAGGTGGATGCCCTTTCTGCAGCAGCTTTGTGTCAGCACGGAGCACCCATAAGGGCTGGGGGTGCCTGCCAGGGTGGGGTGGTGCTGTGGGACCCCAGAGCTGGAGGGACAGGCGGGTGGCTGGGATGGTGCCTGTCCTGGCATTCCCCTCACCTCTGCTGCGCTTATCTGGGGGGACTTGGAGAAGGAGAATCTCATTTGCAGTAAGGTCATCGGTTGATTGAGTTCTTCCAGAGCAGGGGGCATAAGAGGGGGAGCTGTACCATCACATCTTGCTCTCTGGCTGAGGGGACACAGCTGGATTCAACAGGCTCTCTGTGAGCCACTTCCATGGGACAGGCTGGCCTCATCAGTGAACTCACCCTCCTGCTTTACTCAGGCAGGGTCTCTGCTGCCCACCATGTTTGGGCTTTCCTGTGGTCCCTAGGGAGAGTGGGATGCCCCACAGCCTGTCCTTCCACCCCTCAGCCATGTCTGTACAGCCTGGGGAAGGCAAGTGCTCTGCCTGCCCTCCTTCCTCCTCCTTGAAGGGGCTTTGGGGTCAGTGGTGGCTGCTTGGCAGGTTCTTGCTGCAGTCCCCATGGCCATTGACTGGCTGAGTGTGTTTGAAGGCTGAAGAGAGGTGATGGCATGCTTCATCCTCTGGTTGATTTTGTAGTTGCCAGCACTGTGGTAGCTCTCCTTGGGGTGCCAAGCTGGCTCCAGAGAGGTAGGAGGAGGCTGGCAGCTGGATATGGCACTGCTGGGCTTGCAGCTGGTTGGAGGATCACTGCAGAGAAATTTTGGGGTACTGTAGATGCTGTAACTCTGTCTGGAGATAATTTATGGCCTGGTTTGGTTTTGCTGAGAAAACCAGTGCTGATAGAGAACAGGGTGCTGAGGCTGGCATGGAGTCAGTGGACAGGTTGTCCTCAAGGTCTGGATGTGTGACTGTTTTGGGGGAACCCCAAGCTCTGCCATCCTAGGGTGGTGTGAGAAAATGTGAAATGGTTACACCAGCCCCTTGTAACCGCTGGTCCTTGGACCCACCCTGGGATGGCACTGCCTGCCCTGTCTCTTTACCAGGCTGGGAAGAGAATGACCAGGGCCTGGCCAAATCCAACATCTGCGAGAGAGTTGCTAAATCCCCACCTGAGTCATGGTTCTGGCATAGGGCTCCCCTGCAGCTCATCCCTGTCTTCCCACACATCCCCACTTGCAGGGCAGGGCTGGCTGGGGTGGGGACTGGGATGAGCATCCCACCCTTCCAATGAGGGGAGGTCACCTCACAGCCTGAACCACATGTGACAAAGGTCAGGGGGTCCTTGAGCCCCACAAAGGGAGCTGGATGCTGATCCTGCGCTTTTCCATGCAGGAGAAAGCCCCTCGATGGGGTTGCTATCATCTGTTTGTCCCCCTCAGGAGGGCCAGCATCTCATGGGGTACACCTTTCCTAGTGGGGTCAAATCCTGCCCCACTTGTCAGGAGGGACTGACGCTGCCCAGGAGGGCAGGCCAGGCTGTGCAGAGGTGGAGAGCCAAATGGTCCAGGCCAGAGCTGTTAAATCCATTGCTGGAGCTGCTGGCAGGCTTCTGCTCTCCCCCGGTGCTGGATCGGTCCCTAGGCCAGGCTCGGTGGGGAGGGGGGCCACTGGCTCTCCTCTTGCCTTCATCAGCTGCCTAAAGCTGAAGGAATTCACTTCCCCTTCCTTATTCTGCCCCTCTCCACTGCTCTCTGCTCCATCTGCTGCAAGGTAAGGGTGTGTTGAGGTGGGCATTTTGGGGGGCAGTAGGGATCTGCATGGGCTGGATGGGAATTCACAGGGAGTGTCCCCCTTGCTTCTGATTATTCCCCATGGGTGAAATGTTGGAGCATCTACAGGCTTGGCTAGACATTTCAGCTGCAGTGTGGCTATTCCCAGGGCAGGATCTGTCCTCTGACCTGGTATTTGGGGTTGTCATGTAGGGTGGGGGGTGGGGGTTGTTCCCACTGGGACCAGGAACCCGGCAGGGCTGGGATGCAGGGAAAGAGAGACCAGCTGGTAGAAACTCCTTCTCTTCCCCCTTTAAACCGTCTTTGAAGTCAAAACTTGTAGCAGTTCTGTTCTTAGGGCTGGGGTTGTCCCACGGCAGGAGTGGGGAGCTCTGTCCCTGTCCTCCTGCAGCCGAGACAGCCGGGACAGAAAATAAGCAGGAGGCTTTGGAAGGACGCAGGCTTGGTGTGTGGGAGCATCTGGGAGCAAACAGGGCTGTGAGTCAGGGGGCCGGCTGGAAACACTGCTCTCATCCCCTGCCGTCATCCACGGGGGTGTGGGAAACGCGGGTTGGGGGATTAGAGAGAGGGAGCCTCACGTTTTGCTGAGTATATTGCATCAATTGAGGAGTGGAGTTCAGACAGGGACCTGGACGTGGGGTGGGCTTGCTGTCACCTGGACGAGCAAATTGTGAGCACCATTCCAGCACGGATTTTGCTTGGGGTGGAGCAGTGTGGTCTCAGAGAGCTCTGGAGTGGATGGGATCATGGCATTCCTCCTGTCACAGAGCAGGGCAGTGTGTACATCCCAAAAACAGGGCTGGAATGTCCGTGCTATGCCCGTGGTGCTGGCAGGGCAGGCAAGGGGATTGTGAAAATGGGTGGACAGGGTCGGTGGCTTGTCCATGGCTGGTTTCCACCCCTCTTTAGCTGTGTAGTTATTTCAGATGGAGAAACTCAAGTCTCCAGCAAGACACTTGAATTTGCAGCCCCGTCTGGGTTTCAGCATCATGTGTGGCTTGGAAGGACATCCCCACCCTGAATGTGCCGCTGCTCTTTGGGGACAGGTGTGGTGCGTGCACACAGCGGCTGGACAGGGCTGGGTGTCCCAAATGAGGGGCTCAGCCAGCGGGGTGGTGCTCAGTGGACGGTGCAAGGTGGGCAGGCTGTCCAGCTGTCCGGCTGTCTGTCCTGCCTAGGAAACAGTTAACGCGGCGGAGCCCTGCCTGTGGAGGAAGTAGTTAATATTCATAGCTGGAAGCTGTCTGTCTGGCTGTCCTCCCTCCATGGCTCCCACCCTCTCCGCACCTCACTGAGGTTAACTCGGGCTGGGGCTGGAGCTTGGGCGGCCCCGCC